TGATAAATTGACTAATAAATAATAATTCATCAATCATTAATCATCATTAAATCAACTGCAAAATTGATATATATATATATACATTTTGCAGTTGATGTAATGATTTTTGTAACGATTACTTTGTGGCAAAAATAAGCCCAAATACCTCCTTTGAGTTTCTTTTCTCGATCATGTACTTTTAAGCATTAGACATTAGTAGATATTATATGGCTTTCCTAAATATCACCCACAAGAATAATGACAGTATTTAAATTTTCCAGTGAACTATTTCTTTAACACGCTTCATATCCTTTATATACTTATAAAATAATATTCGCTCTGCCATTTTATTGCTCTATTACTATTACATATTCATCACTTTATTTTTGTTACTTAATTTTGCAGCTCAGTGTCTGGTGTCTCCTGAATTGCTTCTGTTAGAGTTGTTTGGAATAAAAGCGTCAATTAAACTAATGAATAGGAATGAAAATAAGGACAATGTGCAACACCACTCCATTGCACTAGAGGGCGACAATAATATTGTCTCAGTTTAAGTCCGTTTTACAAGTATTTGTTTCCCAGCACTGGAAGATCATTGCTGCGTCTCAATGTGCCTACTTTATACTACGCCCTGAAAGTATGTACTCTTTTGGAGAAGAATAAGTACACACTTTTGAGTGTGTAGTAGGCAAGCTTTGGGACATACTACTACGTCACACAACTGCGTCTTTAAAGGACCGCTCTGTCGCACCTGTTACACGTACCCTGTCATCTTGTCACAGTTAACATCCTCCACATTTAATTTCATTTAACTTCCTACCGTACTGGAGAGAAAAGAAGTAGCTCGTTGATCTGCCAGTCGCGTGTCTTTCGTGCAGAGAACTCTGCTCATATTCTCTGCATAATGATGCATTTAAAAGTTAACGACCAAATGGATGTTTATAAAAGTTCACATTGCTGTTGCAGATGAAATATAACACGGATAACAATAAATACATATTTTTTTTTTTACCAGGTTAAATGTTTATTATTAGTAACTCAAACCCCTTTTTGTAAACCTCTACCTAACCGTCGATCGCGCGCATCTCGTTTGTAGTTTTTCTAACGCGTTTTATTCCTGTTTGTAGTTCTGGACCGAATCCTTCACCAAAGCACAATGCCAATTTTAGCCATTAGAGTGTGCATGGATCCACACTTCAAAAATCGACCTGCAATAGTAGACCTTCCGGGGACTTTTGGCATACTCTTTTCAACATACTATGCTTTGGGACACACTTATTCTAATCTCACATACTATTTAGGATGGATAGTATATGAACATTGAGACGCAGGGCATTTCTTTTTCTCATTGGGAGCAAACCGCTTTTTGAGCTCTGACTGAGCCACATTAAAATCTCATATAAGTTTTTTTTTTTTTTTTTTACATTTGTACATGGAATCAATATACTGAGGATAGCAAATAATTTCCAACGTGAACATGATATTCAAGCGGAAATCCATCCTTTTACGTATAAAATGATTTTTAAACTGCCCTTACCCTAGTAATCACAAACGACTGTGACTGGTCCATCCTGAAGAGAGCTGAGAAAAGTAACAGATATGCAATAACAAAAGCTGCGTTTGTGATTTAGCAGCAACCTGGACAATAATTTACACCTGGATATTATCACTGAAAGCAGATCTAATAGTATTGACTGTTTTATTAATGAACGAGCCGCTGTTTTGAACATATCTATGTGCAACGCTTGGTGGCTTTTTGGCACGCTTTAATTGTTTCGATTCTCTGATTGGTGGAGATTTCTTTGCACTGCAGAGTCAAGGGTGATGTAGTTTCCACCTGGAATGTTAAGCACTGTTATTTAAGTTGACTGATGGCTTCAACCAAAGCATGTGCCATCGATTAACCTCTTCTTCTTCTTCTTCTGTGGATTACTGGTGGGTTTTATTCCACTTTTGTTGCCATTTCCAATTGCAAGCTTCTTTAACTATAATGTTCCCTTCCATTCTGCTTAATAAAATAAGTAAGTCTTAATCTATATAATATATTCAGTGTTTCTATGAAAACTGATAAGTGATGCCATTGAATTTGAACAAATCACAACCTTACTTGGCATCATCACTTCTTCTAACCAAGATCTGAACTGCAATTCTGCAGTGTATAGGCTATACTGAAGTCCCATCTGTTAACCTTTCATTCTTCCCTCATTTAAATTCTGGAATATAAAATACTGTTTCTGTATGACTATCACTGGGTTTTGTGATCCGTCTGTATATATTGGAAGAGAAATGCATAACAAACTGTTCTGATATATTCTTTGATATTAATCCCATTCTGTTCTTTTTGAATACTGTCATGAATCTGTAAATCAACTTCAGGTTGACTGAATAATTACGGAGAAATTGTTACTGTTGATCAATGTTATTTTAGTGATATTTCTATAGCCCATTCACTTGCTTTCTATGCAAAACCTGCTCATGCCCAGTTTATTGTCTCCCAGCTCTCCCCTATTATTGCTTTTGTAGGGTCATCTGATTTATGTCCTTGTAAATTAATTCAGTAAGCCACAGATAATTTTAGTAATCTTGCATCTAAAGTAGCCTATATCTGCCTGGTCGAAAACCAAACTGATAATAAGCTAATAATCCTATGCTCTCTAAAACATAATATAGACGAATAACAATCCTTTTTTCCATCACTGTACACAGGTTAGAGGTCAGAGCAATCGGCATATAATTTCCTGCTACTAAAGAATCTTTCCCTGGTTTGGGAATAGGAATTATAACAAACTTGTTTCCAGGATAAGAGCAGTTGTCCTTCCACCCATTTTTTATTAAAAATATCCAATATTTTTTAAGTATTACTTCATCCATATGTTTAATCAATAATATAACAATTTCTTTTTTTGAAGCAGTACTTCTAACTCTCATTAGCACTCTTTTTAGTTCCCACATTTTAAAAGTATAGCATCTACAGCAGTTTGACTATTATTTTTTTTTATCTCGATGTTGCTTTAAAATGTCCTCCCTTCTTCTCTTGTAGTTTTTTCTGTGTGCTTTTTTGAAAGGTGTAATCTAACTAACAGCTCAGCTTTTTCCTCCTTATTCACTGCTGTTTCCCCTTCCCTTGCTAGAACTAGAATATCCTGATTTCTATAAACACCAACCATCTTAAGGACACTCCATACTTTTCCCAACGGTGTTCTTCTTCTTATTGTAGAGCAAAATGATTGTCAATATTTCCTTTTAGCTTGCTTAATTATCTTCCTCGCCTGTGCCCATTTCCTGTGGTGGATTAATATGGTTGTTGGTATTAATGTTTTATGAATGCCTTATTTCTTTTCTTAACTGCTTGATGTGATCTTCATCCTACTTTTTACTTCTGACTTAGGTATTCCTCAGCTGCTTTTACAATATTTGAATCTATCACAACATAAATCTATATCATCATCCAAATTAAAATTCAATATACCATCAATGCATGACTTGTTAAATTCATCCCAGTCAGCTTTATCAAACCTCCACCTAGTTTGTTTGATCTTATTTTGTTTATAAAATTCTATTCTTATAGTACAATTTATTGGAAAATAATCACTCCCTAACGTTGAGTGATCTAAAGCATCCTATTAGCTTCAGGAACTATTGTCAGATCTAAACAATAAGTTGATAAATCCCTTATATTGACTCTAGTTCCTTTACATCATTTAAACATACTAAACCTTTTTCCGCCATAAACTCTTCATCTACCCCTCCATTAATACCTGTATATAAACTTCCCCAAAGTGAATTATGAGAATTAAAATCCCCACACCATATCAAATCCCCAGCTTTAGCTGTTACTGTATTCAGTTCCTCCAGTGTTAACTAATGTATGGATTTTAAAATTTTATTTAAAAAGAGGTCATATGATGCTGCTAAAAAGAACATTATTTGGTGTATTTGGTGTAATGAAATGTGTTTATGCGGATTAAGGTAAAAAAAAAAAACATTATTTTCCACATACTGTACATTATTGTTTCTCTTCTATGCCCCGCCTTTCTGAAACGCGTCGATTTTTACAAAGCCCATCGGTCTGAAAAGCGAGGTGTGCTCTGATTGGCCAGCTATCCAGTGCGTTGTGATTGGTCGAATACCTCAAGCGTGTGACAGAAATGTTACGCCCCTTACCATATTGTGATGCCTTGTCCCGGCTGGAGCGACGAGACAAAAACATTAAAACCCATTATAAACGAGGCATTTGTTGCATCCAGTGGACATAACTACGGATTATAATGACTTATACTGTCTTTTTACGTGTTGCATTGCATCGTGCCACGTAAACATAAAACCATGTCTGCATTTGTGATCGGAGAAATGACAAACAACAAGTGCTACTCTAATTATACTGCCCAAAAAACTCGCGTTTGAATCGTCAGTGGCAAATTCTTTAAATATTAAAAAAACGATGCCATAGAGGAACCATTTTTGGTTCCACAAAGAACCATTCAGTCAAAGGTTCTTTAAAGAACCATCTCTTTCTTACGTTTTTATAATCTGAAGAACCTTCTTTTGCCACAAAGAACCTTTTGTGAAACAAAGGTTCTTCAGATGTTAAAGGTTCTTTATGGAACCATTTAGACAAAAAGGTTCTTCTATGGCATCGTGAAGCACCTTTATTTTTAAGAGTGTACAGCGAGAATAAAAGTTAGGACTTCTTTCTTTGCGTGAACATTTGGGCGGCGTTATGCCAATCTTCCCACATAGTGACGTAGACATGTGGGGGCGTGTTAGAACGAGCCGTTTTAGGTAGGCGTGGTTGACTCTTAACTTTTAAAGAATATCTCTTTGGATTTGAGATTTTAGTCTTTGCAACTTTACAGATCTTCTTTATGCACCAAGAGCTTGTAACACTCCAAAGAGAAAGGAAAAATTGAAATCGCATCATATGACCCCTTTAAAAGTCTGTCTATAAGTTATCGTCAAAATCGCTTCCGCTTTCTTACCCACTTCCGTTTTATGGTCACAGACAAGAGTAAAGCCCGCCCACCAACACTACAAGCCAAACCCAGAGCGAGAGGGGGCTGAACCTCACGCAGAATCCGATCTGTCCCGTGCAGAAAAACACTAGAGAGGCGATCTCCTGCTGGAAGTGCTTATTAAAAGATCTGCTCCATATCAGCCCCGAATAATTCAAAGATATCGCCTACAATGGAAGATGGCAGGGAAACAGCTGCGATGAGAGAGCAAAAACGGAAGGATCGACAAATAGGTTGGCTACTACTGAATTATTATTATTATTATTTAATATCACGTGTTTGCGCCGTTGTGTGCGTGGATATACGCTGCATTCAGCTGACATATAATACGAATAAGCCATACTAAATGTCTCTGTGTATTGTCTTTAAAAAGATTAAAAATGCATTAGAAACTATATAAACATTGGAAGCACGTCCATGCTCCCTTTTTTTCTTCAGGGTCTGTTATTTTTGAGAGTGCAGCATGGGTGTGTCTTTATGCTCTCTGTGCCAAACTGGGCAACAACAGGTGCTCATACCCCAACGATATTAAAATGAGTCCTGTAGCACTATACAATCCCAAGCACTTGTGTTTTCATCAGAACAATCACCTGTGTTTTGCTGTTTATTTCATTTATTCTTTTTATTGTTTGTTTAGGCTCTGAATTGATCTCACAAAATAATAAAGGTATAATAATGAAAAAATATGATGTAGTATAGTATAATATAGTGTGGTGCAGTATAGTGTAGTACTGAATGGTATAGTGTCTCATAGTAGCCTATAGTATGGTGTGGTTTAGTAAAAGCAGTAAAAAAAATTGCATATAAATGTCTAGAATTATTCTAATTATTTGTGCTGAACAACATGCAGTTAAAAAATTGTGTTGGGAAACACTAGGACTTTATTTTGGAATAACCTAAATGTACCTTGAATTATAGTGTATTAAACACAAACATCACTTAAATAGATCTACAAAGTTTTATATCATGTTTCTGGTGTTCAAAGATCTCGGCTGTAATGTAAAGGTTGCAAGGTTAGTACCAGGCAGCGATGATTTAATCATTCTACAATTGCTGTGATCATTGTCCTGCTCAATAATCATATCCAGCATTCAATCTTACTTTGCTTTGACTGTCGCAGCAGTTAATGTAATTTACTCTGGATGGATCTGCTGAAGGAAATGTTTTCTCTCTTATTAGGGCCGATGGGCTTGTAGACTAATGGTTTTAGGCCATACATACAGTAGCCTCTTACAGTTACATTTCTCTATAGATCGGTGGTGTCACACAAATGATGATACTCAAGGTAGGTAAGGTTTGAAAGTAAAGCAATGGCAGTTTTGTTTGTTCATTTCTGTTTTTAACGGTAGGGAAGCGTTCATTTGCTATATGTGTGGCTTATCGATGTGGGTGAATGGCTATGAAATGTTAATGTGCTGTTGAAGTTCCTTGGTTCATAAGCAAACTAGTGCTATAATGCGTGCACTTCAGCTTGAAGCTAAAAGATTGAGTGTTTTGCGTCTTTGAACTCATTTAACCCATCATTTTTGTGTTACAGTGGGTTAATGGACATTTATATGTGTCTTTTTATCTTTTTTTATTGTGTAGTAATTTAAATAAAAAAGTATATGCATATGCACATTTGCTTTGCTTTACAGCCTTGGAGAATGCAGACAGTGACATTGGCTTGTGTGGTTGGATCCTGGTGCTTTTCTCCATCCTGCTCACATTGCTGACGCTGCCTCTCTCCATATGGATGTGCATTAAGGTACTTTGTGGTGGTCCTTTCATTAGTGTGATGTCATACATCTGTCATACACCTTTTCCTTTAAATCTTTGTATGTAGAAAAAAAGAAGATTGGAAGGGGAGCACCTATAAAAAAAATTAAAATTGTTAAGCTGATAATTAATGTTTTGGCATTAAATGGCCTATAATGTAATATAATATAATATAATATATAATTAATTAAAAATAACACTAATCAGACATTTTGAATGCTACAAGTGAATTTAGACATCACAACATTATAATATACTGTGTATTCATTTTGAGATTTGCAAAAGATTACATGATATTTTTTATAATTGCAATGTTAGTCAATTATTAGCATTATTAAAGATTAATATAAGTGAGAGTTTGATCACAGCAAAGGTAATCTAAATGTAGTTAAGCATGTAATTTCCAGTACTGACTGATATATCTGTTATCAGCTGATACTGATAAATGAAAGAAAAATATTACAACCAATATTACAGCTATAAATTGTGCATCCCTAAAGATTTTCTAGTTATGTTCCGCTCTAAAATGATTCATTAGCTAGAAATTGCGTTTCATGAGGGCAAACTCTATAAAGTGATTTTACAATCCTTGTTGGAAATCATAAACGATTGGAAAAGTTGTGAAAATTCATTGGTCAAAAGGTGTGGGTATATTTAAGTTGTGTTGATCATTCCCTTATCCCATATCATAAATTTGTGCCACATTTTTTCATACCAGATTGGAGTGTTTTTCATAGGAAGTGAGAAGTCCTATAATCTTTATCTTTATCATCTTTATCTTTATAAGAAAGATGAAGAAGGAATGATAAAGGTTGCCATTCAACATCTAAATGACATAATTGGGGGCCATTTTACCTTCTGCTGTTTTAAACTGCTGTAGTTTTGAGATAAAAATACTTCTTGTTCCTACAGATAGTGAAGGAATATGAAAGGGCAATTATCTTTCGCCTGGGACGCATTTTACGAGGAGGAGCCAAAGGACCAGGTAAAAGAAAACAAATCAATAGGATTTGATCTTTCTGATTTAATCACTGCTAGTGGTTTAGGCATCTCATGTGATAATGATCCTGCTCCTGTTGTCTGTAATCAGTGATCACACTTGTGTTGTTTTTGTTATGTGTGTGTGGTTAAATGTGACACTTTTTGCAGTCTACTTGTTTGCATTTGTGCTGTGGCCGTCCACCACAATGATGGCTTGTCACAAGTCGAAAAAATAAAACCACTTGTGTTGTAGAGAAACAGAAGTGATCTGTTTTGCACCTCGGCTGACCTGAATAAACCACATTTTTTTCAGGATCACACTAGCATTCATTTGAGTATGCTATAAAGGTACAAAAAGGCACACCTTACTCAATCATATGCAAATGTAATAGATAAATTGATTATATTCAGGAAATATATTCCAGTAAGCACATGTGATTTCCTGAGGCATCTGTAAAAGATCATATCGCCTGCAAAGCATCACGTTTTATTTTAGTTGTTTATTTTAAGGGCACATAATGTTCTTGCATAACTTTTCATAGTCTTTACAGCTATATTGTAATAGCTATATAAAAAGGTATTAACATCTGAGATTGTAATGTCAGGTTATAACGTCATAACGTGCTCTGTACTCTAGCCTTCTAAGCCATAAAAGTCATTTGACCAGATGTCTAATTACCATCCATTTTGTTTGTGGCCCTTTTGCCATGATGTCACGTATTTCATTGAGGATTTTGGATCAGGTTTCATGCAGTGCTGTGGTTGTTACGGTGATTATGCCATTTTCATGGAGATTGATCTTGGTGACTGGTTATATTTCTGTTTGCATTTCTTTGTCTTCTCCTCCTTCTCTTTCTATTCTTTATATTCAGCAATTTAATTAAATTCAGACCACTTAACTGATGGGTTCCATCCAACTTGTTTTTATTTTGCACTTCATTTCGGCCTCAAAGTGAGGTCACGTTTACTGTTGCGCTGTCAAATTTCACAGGCAAAATCCAGTCATTTGAGTAGGAGTCCATGCGATCGCGAGTTTCATCTGAGGGTGAAAAAATTCCTCACACAGATTTTGCTCATGTTCAAGTTGCCGCATTCGCAAACAGAAAGCTGCTTGGTTTGCAAGTGCCTTCATTGTGAACTGTCTTTCATACATTTCATACAAAATACTTTTTTTTTTTTTTTTAAAGGGGTCCTATTATGCTCTTTTACAAAGTCTTGATTTTGTTTTGGGGGTGTACTAGAACAGGCTCTCATACTAGGTTGTTCGAAAAACACATTATTTTCCACATATTTTACATTATTACAACACCTCTGTCCCCAGTCTGGCATGAACGGCTCGAATAGTTCCTGTATCAAATGAAGGCCCGCCTTCTGAAATACGAAATGTGCTGTGATTGGTTAGCTGGGCCAGTGTGTGTTGTGATTGGCAGCACTTGGGGCCTGGTCGCGAAATGTCATGCCCTTTACCATGCGAGCTTCAGTGTAAATATTGCCTCAAAATCAAATCAATTTGAGCGCGATTTAAACCCGGATGATTGTAACCACTCTAAGTTCGTCTGCCTTGGGAAAGCTAGCGCGTCTCCGACATAGTGATAACACTCGTTGCCTTCTCTAGTGCAACTCAACCAGATCTCATCCCATTCTTCGATATTTGTGATATCACAAATCCCGGAAAATATGTGTTGTAGTCCAAACGAGTTGTTTGTTGTAGTTTTTGAAAAGTGATTTCTGTTAAATCAAATATCTCCTTTTGAAGTGGACTTTGAGCTTCATAACTTTGCAGATCTTTTTTTTATGCTCAAACAGCAACATTACAGACTAACTAAAGTTGAAAAAGTGAAAAAGCATAATAGGACCCCTTTAAGATGTGCTACTTTTGAAGACATTTAATATCAAAGTTTGAAAATGTCCTATCAGCTTGCATTGTTAAAGGGGTCATATGATGCTTTTTTTAAAGATCATTATTTTGTGTATTTGGTGTAACAGAATATGTTGACATGCTTTAATGTTCAAAAAACACATTATTTTTCAAATACTATACATTATTGTAGGTCCTCTATGCCCCGCCTCTCTCAAACGCTTCGTTTTCTACAAAGTCCCTCCTTCGACAAGTGCAGTCTGCTCTGATTGGCCAGCTGACCCAGTGCATTGT